ATGGTCATATGGTCCTCAAATTGACAGTACTCGAGTGAAATATTTTGTCAATCGCATTGTAAAAAATATTCAAATGAGCGCTTTAGAAATTCCCTCCCAAAGTTTTGAAGTCAGTGATGTCGATGAGCCAGGTTTTGCTTGTACAATCAAGATGTATCAACAAAATTCACCGGCAATCATTACTATGCCGTTGATACGTGGTATGGCCTACGCGACATTTGAATTTGTTTCTGCAACACCGCGTATCTCCACTATACATTCTATGCTTACAGTCAATGGACGAGTCTCTGGTAATATGACTGGGAAGCGTTTCGAAATAGCTCTCAACAATAATCAAACATGGCTATTGTATGCTATTGATAGTGATATCACATTAAACTTCAATGAAAATCAATTCGTAGGCATTGAGCCTGTGACTAATGTCCTGCATCTGGCTAAAAAACAAGCTGAAGCATCAGCGAGTGCTGTGCTCGATGCACAAGTTGGAGTGTATCCCGTGGGCTGCCAACTACAGGCCAATGTCACAAGATTCCAAGGTTCATACATATTCAATTGGCAACTAAAAGGTGACCTGAGTAAGACTCTACTTCATTTCACCTTTCCTCATCATCGGCAAATTCTTTCGCCAGTTTGTTGTCAAATCACAAATGTTCGAGCCATGTCGGCTAGTAAAGGTCTCATGATAGGCTATCGGGCCAATACATGGATACTGACAGAAAACTCTCTCTCTACTATGGATTTTCTAGCACCACGTTCACCAGCACCTCAATATAAAGACTTGATTGTAGCAGAATTGAAAAAGGATCTTGTGATTGCAACTAATTTGACAGTGCCAGATTATTACTTTATTGGAAAAGAGTTTCACAAATATGCTTTACTTTGCTTGTTAGCTGAATACTATCGAGAAACAGTTGAGTTGGATCGATGTATGAGGATACTTCAAGCAGGCTTTGAAGTGCTCATTACGGGGAAAAATACCAATTCTCTACGCTACGACACAACGTGGTCCGGACTGGTCTCGTCAGCCGGCTTAGGGTAAGTTTGTCTTGCACTCAAGAATTCTCATACTAAAT